CGAGATGTCCAGCCCATTTAGTGTCATGACATTCTCGAATCACATCACGCAGCAAATTTTTCCACTTAGGCACAAATACCCATTGCCCAGAGGTCTATAGCAACCCGTTATCAATCCAAAATCGCCTTGTCTTGCCTTCTCAGGTGGCTTGCATCAATATTTTTGCCATGGGATCACGCTTCAATCCTTATTTAATTTCCTCCAACAAGGTGCTCGTGGCTTGGCTAATTGCCGCAAGTTCCGCCTTCCGGCTAAGTGCATCCGCCACTATATTTGCCTTCCCAGGTTTGTATTCCATCACATAATCAAACTCCGCCAAGAAATCTTGCCGTCTAGCTTGCTTCGGGCTTAACTTTGTTTGTGATTGGAAGTAACTTATAGCCACGTTGTCCATCTTGATCACAAAACGGGAACCCAAAAGATAATGACACCATACCTGTAGGCAATGCACAATGGCCGTCATTTCTTTTTCTTACACTGTGTAACGCCGCTCCATGTCATTCAACTTGCAACTCTCGAAGGCAATAGGATGACCTTGCATGAGCACACCTCCAATAGCAAAATCTGATGCGTCCGTTTGAACTTCAAAACTTTTGTTGAAATTCGGCAAGGCCAACACCGGCTTTGACATGACCGCCACCTTTAAATCATCAAAGGCTCTTTGACATTTCACGATCCAATCCCATCATTGAGACTTTTTGAGCAAGTCCATTAATAGGGCAGCTCTAGATGAGTAGCCTTTAATGAAACGCTGATAGTAATTCACTAATCCAAAGAAAGACTGCAGCTCCTTCACCTTTGTAGGTGGCTCCCATTCATTGATTGCTTTTAATTTGGCTCCGTCCATTTTCAAGTGACCATGCCCGATGATATGTCCCAAGAAATTCACCTCTTTTTTGGCAAATGAAAATTTCTCCTTCTTGATGTACAATTCATTTTCCCTCAACACTTGGAAGATAATTTTCAAGTGTTCAACATCTTTCTCTAATGTATTGCTGTAAATGACAATATCATCAAGATAGACCACCACAAACTTATCCAGGTATGGATAAAATATCTTGTTCATCAAGGTGCAAAATGTGGCTGGGGCATTGGTTAAAACGAATGGCATGACAAGCCATTCATAGGAACCATACCGAGTAATGCAAGTAGTTTTGGGCTCATCTCCCTCAGCAATTCAAACTTGATAGTAGCCTTTTTGCAAATCAACATTGGTGTACAACTTAGCGCTACCAAGTCGATCAAATAAATCCGCAATCAATGGAATAGGATACTTTTTTCACTGTCACCTTTTTTAGTGCTCAGTAATCAACGCACATCCTTAACATCCCATCCGACTTCTTTTGGAATAACACCGGGGCGCCATAGGGAGCTTTGGATGGTCTAATCCTCCCCGTCTCAACAAGCTCTGTAAGTTGTTTTCGAAGCTCCTCCAACTCTGGGGGTGCCATGCGATAGGGTGTCATAGTCGGGGATTTGGCACCGGGCTCTAACTCAATGTGATGATCAACTTCCCTCTAAGGCCGAAGTTTCCTTGGCAACTCCTTGGGAATCACATCCTTATTTTCCTCAAGGACTTTTGTAATAACATCCGGCAAATCATCGTTATAAGTGGTGACTTTGGTCGCAACCGACAATTGAGCAATGAATGTCGGCTCACCCTTCTTTCATCCTTTCGCTAATTGCATAGCCGAAATTGTCCTACTTCCACCCCCATGGAAACGATAGGAACCATACACGATGATCCTTTCTCCAAAATACACATAGAACCAAAGAAAGGCATAGGAATTGCATTAACCTTCCTCAAGAAGTCCAAGCCCAATACTAGCTTGAAATCATCTATCGGTGCCACAGAAATATCAACGGATCCATGCCACGAATCCAACCGTAGTTTCGCTCCTCGAACTATGCCTGCTAACGGCTTCATGGTTGCATTCACTGTCTTTAACAATCCACCTCCATGGTGAATATTCAAGCCTAGCCTCTGTGCTTCATCCTTCGTGATGAAATTGTGCGTGGCTCTGATATCAACTAATGCCCGTGTTTGCCGTCCATTGATTTCAGCAAGTACGAACATCAATCTTTTTTCTCCGTTCGTCCCCGGAATAGTTTTGGCATTCAAAGCATTGAAAAATTGCAATAAATCCATGTGACTTGCACCCTCCTCCTTGCCATGGGAAGCCTCCGATTGAGTCTTCGTAATTGACGTCAAGGATCCAAGTTTAGGGCAATATCGCATGAGATGTGGCCCTTTGTAAATGAAGCAACTACGAGGAGCAAAATTACCCTTCTTTTTATCATCATATTCCTTCCGCCAAGTAGTTATTTTGTTACTACCAGATTTGTAATCAACTTTGGGATTTGGCCTCCAATCCGGCTTACTCTGTTGCTTGTCTTTTCGCACATTACCTCCGCCTTTGCCAAAATTCTCTTTAGTTGGTTTGAAAGTCCTTGGTTGCCACCCCGTACTCCTTTGGAACTCCGTCAAAGATTCAACAACCGCAATTGCCTCATCTACATTTTTGACCCTGCGATGTTGTAATTTTTGGCGCACCCATGTTGTACATCCATCCATGAAATAGAATGGCAAGACATCATCCGGCATGCTCGGGATTTGAAGCATAAGGGTCGTGAACTCTTTGACATAGTCACGAATGGTCCCCTTTTGTTTCAATTCCCTTGGTTTCTTACGGGCCTCATACACAACGTTCTCCGGGTAAAATTGCCTTTTTAGTCCCTTTTGAACTCGTCCCAAGTATCAATTCTGCAAGCTCCATTATCAACATCGGCATGCTTACGACGCCACCAAAGAGATGCAGTGTCAGTAAGATACATAAAAGTGGTTCAGACTTTCATGGCTTCATCAACAAGATTTACGTCTTCAAAGTAGACTTCCATTTGCCATAGGAAGTTTTCTACATCTTTGGCATCCCGTCGGCCATCATAATGTTTAGGCTTCCGGTATTCAATCCTTGGGGCAACAATAGTTGAAGCGGCACCTCTGCTTGTACCGGCAGTGGATTGCTTATATTGATCAAACTCTTTGCTCATTCTTTCCATCATCACGGCCAATTGATTAACTTGGCTGTGCATGGTGGAAACGGCATCCAAGACTTTGGTTTGGAGATGACCAAAATCATCTGTCTCTGCGGCTTGTCCGGCTATCACAGCTCGAACATCATCTTTCATCATTTGGACATCATTTTCCAATGATGCTTGTGTGTCCATCACCTCTTGGACATTTATTTGTAGAGTTTCTAACTTTCCAATGGCGTGTCTCTCCAACGCCTCGAGGAGCTTTCAAGATATTTGATCTGATCACCCATATTTGCGATGATTTGGTTGAGTTTAACCTCCGTGTTGGCGGCTTTCCTCGTCTTCCTTTTGCCTGGAGTTTTCCTTACTTCAGTTTGGGCAGTACCTCGACCCTCTCCTCAATCTCAATATCAACAGTTTGTTGAGAATCCGCCATTATAACGACCTACAAACAAGGCTCTGATACTACTTGTCACGGACTTAATTTCGTTACACTCGAACAACTAGAACCATGTCGCCTTAATGTTCGACAATTCCCGTCCCTCACGAGAAAACGTTAAGTCGGTCTTTCCACGCTCACAATTAATTTAACCAAAGAGGCTAAATTATAACCATTTTGAGAAAAGAATTTTGGAGTAAGGAATATATGGAAAATAAGTAAGGTTGAGGAAATTTTCTTTGTATAAATGAAAGGGAAAACTTTACAATCTCTCTAATGTATAAACTCACTCCACTCTACATGATTTACAAATGAGACTTCCATCTCTATTTATAGGCAAAAATCTTGCAAGTTGCTTTCAAATCAACGGCTAAGATTAATTTGATTCAAAAGCCTTCATTGGATGCAAGTTGCCTTAAACCTCTTTTGACAAGTTGCATTCCACTTTACAACTCATGCTTAGTTGTCATCAAGTGGACATTCTCTACCATTTTCCTTGCAAGTGGATACAACTCGTACTTAGCTTGCATCTTGATATTATTCTTGCCAACTCGATCTTAGCTTGCATCTTAATAATATCTTGCAAGTGGCACAAGTGGACAAGTTGTGCAAGTTGCCCACTTGCATCCCCAAAATATCCAGTTGCAGGTCCATGCTTTTTTTTTCCTTCCAAAATGGCTGGTTCGGGACTTAGAACAACCTCATTAACGTGCTGAAAAACTGCCCGGTTTAGACAACCTGCGTTCTGCCCAACAGGTTGCCTGCGTCCCTAGCTTGAGTATGCCTGCGTCGCCTGCCTGAATCTGCATGCGTCCCCTACTGCAAGCTATTCCGTCCCGCTAAAAAGCGTTACCCGTGCTGTTTTGCGACCGCTACCCGGACGGATTGGTCGCGACCGTGTGGGGCGTAAGTACGTACATAGTATAGTGTATGTATGCATGCATGTGAGAAGCACAAGGTCTCATTCATTTGCAGCCACATATCTTGAGCTCCTGGATACCAGAAATTAACAGTTATCATGCTTATTTTGGAACTCAGATTGACGGGAAAATGAATATTATTGTCAGTTCTGCATAGTGTTATGAGACATTGCTCATGTAGTCAGATTAAGAAATGTGTATCTAAATCAAAGTAATCTCTCATTTAAGTTTGGCTTCAAAGCTTGTTGCTTTTTCAGTGCTTCTCAAAGAAGGCCAAAGAGCATCCAAAATGCATTAATTGTATAAGAATTTTGAGTCAAATGTAGCAGATTTCCCAAGTTCTTTTACACTAGTGCTAGGTTTGAATGACCCTTAATATGCCTCTCCAGACACAATTTCTCCAAATTTAAAGATTCTTAAGATGTTAATTGTATTACTAACCTTCAACGTTTAGTTTGTTAGTTTCTGAATACATAGTAAAACTCTTCATTTTGGTGCATTTGCTTCTTTTGCCCATTATAGTCGAAGGAAGAAATGAAAGATATAATAAGTTTATCATTTATTCATTCCTCAAATACTGACCTTCGTGATCCTAATCTCGAAAGTGTTCTAGAAAAACATGACATGGCATTAAACATAATACAGATCTTTTGCATTCTAAGAGTAAAGGAATTCAACTCCTTTTTCCACATCCAATTATTTACACCATAAGATATAGCATTACATTGTAAAAAACAGTATCTTTACTTTTCTCCTTGCAATTGAACAACTCATTGATTCTTGCAGCACCACTTTTCTCGCTATCTGTAAACTCAGCACCAGAAGCTAAAACAAAAGGTAACCCACTTTCCTTCGCAAGTGTCCTAGCGAAGAGGGTTTGCCTGTTCCTGGAGGTCCAGACAGAAGCACACCCTACAAAGTAGATGATGAAACAGTGAATTGCACCGTCAGTAATTCGCAGCATGGTCCATACTTAATTGCCTCATCAATCTTAGAAATATACAAGCTTGCTCGAACAAACTTCAAATCCTTTTCATAACACTGCATGGGGTTTCCCACGTATATCATCAACTCATCCAGAAGATCCCAGACATCCCCTCCTAAGACTACATCTTTGTACATTGATTTTGTTTCACCAACTTCACCAACTGGCTGGGTAAATGGTTAAATAAGAGATCAAAACCAACTATGGTTATAGGTAAAAAGGTGCTATTCAACTTATAATATAATGCTTACCAGAATTAAATTTTCAGCATAAGCCATATCAAAAAGTTGGTTATATTTCTTATAAAGAAAGCGGTTTGTTGTAATATGAAGAAACATAAGAGATTCTCTTATAAATCGTAAGATTAATTTCTAGGCAGTAAAGCAAACACAACTTTTAGGAAGTAATGGATCTGTCGCGTCTGAAGAAGATCTACTTCAACACCAGCACCTGCTATTGCCTCAAACAAGAAAGGATCGAGCGGAATATCAACCTAAAAAGGTAAGAAAAATAGAAAGTAATAAGCATTTTAACCGAGGACAGATATCATCTCTGCAAAAACACAACTGCATAACAGACTCACAGTATATTCTAGGGGGAACCCTTCTTTCATAGTTATGTACAATCTTTTCAGCTCCTTTGTAAAGACAACAGCAGCAACCTGACAAATAGAGCACGTGTTAGGAACAGCCTAACATATTGGTGTACTTCGGAATAAGTCATTTAAGAACGTTGTAATGGAGTCATCTTTTCTAAGCTGTGGACCTCAGGATCTCTTGATAAATGTAGGATCTAATATTTATTCAAATTTAGTTTAAGCAAGGTTGACATTTAAAATCTAAAAGAAAATGAAAAAGAGGCTGGCTGCAATTTGAAGATGACATCAACAAATGCTCCATTTCCACTTAAATCCTAACATCCAACCATCAAATTGTGTGAAATACATATATAGGGAAATTATTTCAAGTCCTGGATTGCAATATAAGGAACTCTTAAGTCCAATGCAACTGTTTAGGACACATAAGTCCTACTTCATAAAATTACATCAACAGGAATCCTATATCTAGAAGAATATATCTGTTCTTATTTGTCCTTCAACTTTAGATTTATAGATAAAGTTCAATATTTGTGCTCTTTTTAATTACTATTTTTATGTGAACACTATATTGTTTTCCTCATTAAGCTAAATTTTCATTTCAATCAGTTAAATACAAAGCCAAGGATGGTAGCAACCAATAACTGCTAGAATTACAAAAATGACAAAACTTGAGATTTGTGAATTTGAATTTTTTTTTTCCTTTTTACTTTGTGGAGTTAAAGATGATGTTTGTCAATTCAAAAATATTTTATCTTATATTTGAAATTTGAAAAAGATCTCAAAATATTTACATGAATTAAAAGCGGGAAAAAGGTGGAATTCCATTGCATACACAAAATAAATTGGAAATAAGTGGCCATAAATTATATAAAATTATTAACTAATTAAATATTAACATGATGTGTCCTTTTAAATGGTTAGGATATTTTCATATATCTCTTCGTGCAAACAGAACAGATACGTAATTTTCCCAATATTGAAAGAAGTGGCTTTCTGAAGCACCTTGCCAGAGAACTGCATTTCCAAAGAACTTTTAAAGAAAGAGGTCTTGTTCTACCTGAAGTAAATGAACCTATATTTCTCAACTCCGATGAATGATCAGTTAGGAATAAAAAGAAACCAATGATTCAGAGTAGAAAAGAATATATAGGAAGAGAAGAGGACAGAGGATGATAGACTTTTCACCTCTGAAGAATCAAGTTTCTGAAGAAAATAAGTATAGGGAAGTTTAGGACGGTAGCGCCACCATCTTTTTGAGATCCATAGTGCCCTTGTTCCTCGTGTTTCTTCTCAACCACATCCTTACGAAGACTGTTCTCTACTTCTTTCATGTCAAATTCAACGGCATACTTAGCATTCAATGAATCTAATTGTTCGCTTAATTTCTCAGCATGAAGAATTTCTTTCCATGCTTGAAGCCTATCATGCCATGTTCCTGCTGTATCCTGATTTTCAACTGTAAAAGAAACATGTCGAGTAAGATAGGAAGAAAAGCAAGAATAGATTAGTACATTAGCATGTTGTATAATATGGCTGTAAGAAATAATATGGCCGTGAGAGAGTCCACTGGAAAAAAGTGAAGCGACAACTATTTTGCAACCTAAGAGCGCAAATTAAAAAGACTGGAGAAGATTTGGAGAAATTCAAGCTCTTGTAGACTTTTGAACTTAAAGATCCCATTGGGCTCGATAAATGATTGCCAAATGGTGTATTAAACATAAAAGATCAAACATACCTAACAAAGGCTTAAGAGTCACTATGCCTCTCAAATATCGGTTACTGCATGACTGCAGAGCATTAACTATGCTTAAGTACTAATTTATTCATTTCCTAAACCAGGATTACCTTATTTAAATTTTCAATATGTTCTTGTGTTTCTTCCGATCTTGGATTACCTTATTTCAATTTTCAATATGTTCTTGTGTTTCTTCCAATCTTCAAACACTATTCTCGGGAATTTCTCATTAGCACCCAAAACAGCACCATAAACCTACTAAATCCTCTTTCAGTTAAAGAGAAATATCTCTTCAGCCCCATACCACACAATCCACATCTAATCCCACCACAAATTTATCAAGGAGGATTTGAGAGAGTTTTACTAAAGGCATACAGTATAAAAGTCCAGAGCATAAAAAAAGACTGACTTTAAATGTGGGGCAGAGTAGACAAAATTATCGTAAAAATGAGTAACACAAGTGCTATAGCTCTAGTTTAAGCCCTATTGGCTTGAAATTTTCAAATACAAGTTGTAAATGGTGACTGTCATGTTATTTGTCAAACTAGCGAAATATGTTTAGAAACAACTTCAGGAGAATAAGATGATTAAGCAATGATCTAAGAAAGTTGATTGTAAAGCCAACAAAAAATGAGGAAGATATTTAAATAATCTGATAGTCCTAATTCTTCCTTCAGACTCTTCTTATCCTCTGTATTCAATTTTACATCATGATCTATAATTTCTTTTATGTTGTCCTGGGAACGTTCAGTGTCATCCTCCCATGCATCTTCCCCAACAAAAGAACTATCATGAACAAGTGTCCCATCAGGACTCTCAATGAACTTTTTGAGCTTCAGACCTTTCGGTGTAGTCTTCCTCCACAAACCTTTTTTGAACCTATAGGAAGTAGAAAAGGTTGAAACCTTGAGCAACTCAGAAACATCAACAGCACCAATGTATTACATCAGTATTTCAACATCTATACCACTAACCCAAGGATATTGAAATTAATTTCATTTTAAAAATTTGGTCCATTGAATTACTGCAGATACTGGGAGGTGATTGAAGTAAAAGATAATAGTAAATAACAGAACAATTTTTCGGGTTATCAAGTTCCTAATATGACAAGGTCTTAACTTCAAACTTGATCCTTCTTTTTTCATGCTTTAAAGCCCTCTTAAATCAGAACAACTACATGTGCTTTGCACCAATTACCCTAAAGACTAAAAACCTCTGCTGGTACAATATACGTCAAAAAGGCACTGTGCCATATTGTCACAAAGAAATTTTGGAATCTTTGCCCTTTTCCCGTATTCCAAATCATAAAATCAGATACCAAACCAGTAAGAACAGTGGCAACTTTATAAACATATCACCATCACCATTACAACATTCAACTGGTTAATGTTTTCTCAAATGAACTATGCTTTCAATTTTTTTATCAGTGATCAAGCGTGACAGGATATCACTTCCAACTGTGGTCGGGAAAAATAGACTAAACCTAAAGGAGATTTTTCCGAGGAATTCAATTACTTTGCATGATAGATATTGGTTGCTACTCCACAAATTTAACTTTCAAAAGTAATTACAAACAGGGATATCCATTGACCACTAGTCAGTGAAATGATTTTGCTAATTTTTCTGTCAAAATAGTAGACAACTATTGCCCATTACAAAAGGAAAACCGTAAGTTGCTTAAGAATGACTGGATTAGAAATAAACTTACTTCCGAACATTAGTAGGAGTAGGCTCAGGAATCAATGCCTCCATATATGCCTCTGCCAATTCTTTTCTTTCACGTTCAATAATGGGCGCTCGAATTTCCATACGTATTCTTTGATAAGAAAATATCATAACAAAAGCATATAGCACCAAAACACCCACTCTTTTTGGTTCCCAAATTTTTACATCCTAAGAAAAACAAAAAGTAATACTATAATAAAAATAATAATACTAATTTCCTCCAAGCCAATTTCAATACATATGATTCAAGCATTTTAAGGACAAAGGAAGACCAATTTTGGCTGTTCTTTAAAGTGATTAAACTTGCATTTAATTTACGTATTTTGCCAATAATTATTACAAAATTACCTTTTTACTAACAAAATTTACTTTGGAGCAACAAAACACGATTTTAAAAAAATCATCTTTTAAGACATTAATAAAAAGTATACCTTCCAACGTTCCCATATTCCAATTAATGAACTGAGGTACCAACTCGGAATTCACCCGTTCCAGCCCATCCCGGCTTTTCTGAATTGAGTCTTGCATCCAGCCCGACAACTCAACTTTAGCGGAATCCAAGTCAAACCCAATTTCTTTCTTCACAGACTCGCCCAATTTCTCAAAAAACCGCTGAGAACCACTGCGAATTGACTGCGAAAAGCGAACCCACGAGAAACCTTGGGCGGTCCACCTGGATTTATGTCTGAGGAAGAAGAAGCAGAAATTATGAGCCTTCTTTGGCGGGAAAGCTTGAGCTTGCATTTCCGATAATGTAACGGCGGGATGGTTCTTTTCTGAGAAAATGGAGATTTTTTGAAGATAGAAAAAGTGGGTTTGGTCTGCATTGGATTGCTGTAACTTCCATGATTATATGCTGGAAGAGAAGAGAATGAAAACGGAGATTTTGCTGCAGTTTGAGCAGCTGGGAATTGGGAGAAGGGGTTTAGAGGTTTTATTATCACTTGTATTTGTATTTATCTTCAAATCTTGAGCTGGTCCCTCAAGTTTTCATTATTTCAATATGCCCCCCTTTTTCTCAATGGGCCGAGTCATTCGGCTCGGACTCGCTTCGAGACGAACCAAGCATGAGCCAGTTCCCTCGAAATATTTCAGGCTTGTGATTTTTTTCCTTCCAAAAATTTTATTATTTTATTTGCTTTTTGTTTCTTGACTCCCTGGCGAGCCGATTTAAATCGACAAGCAACTCTCACATACACCTATGACTCACCTTCAAGATGAATCGACAAGTAGCTCACCCCACTTATCATTTCCAATAAGAAAATAAATTTTGAGTTAAGACAAAAAAAACCAATTGATCAACCTGTGACTTGTCGAGTTGGCTGGTGGGTTTTGTGGCAAGGATGGATACAGGGCATAATTTTAAAAAATATATACTCTTAAATAAATATATAATATTAATCGGGACAAATAAGTGTCCCGTCCTGTCCATCTTAAACAGGGCAAGGACCAAAAAATCCCTGATATGGTGGGACGCTCTACGCCGCTCCATTGCATTTCTGGAGAAAAAACTCTCCGACTTCGATTAACCTAAATTCATGTCAATCTAAAGAATACGAAAATAAAAAATAAAGTACAGTTTAATTAATTTTGTTTCCTATTCTATTGACTAACATTATCTGTTTTCAACATATTAATTTTGTTCCCCTAACCGACTTCAAATTTATGGATGTTATGTTTAATTTGTTGTTGCTTATCACGTTATAGACTCCTCTTCAGAACAATTCGAAGCTTTTTTTCCGTTTTTACCCGACGTTTATTTCAATTTGTGGGTTGGTGACTTTTAACGGTGACAAAAGTTGAATATTTATGTCAGTGATTACTAAAGTCATTTTCTTAGAGTAATGAAGTCATTCAAGTTTTTAAGAGCTGATCTCACACCATTCAAGACTCCCACTAAACTCGATGTTCAATTGGCAAAAGCAGCTCCACAAGTTTCCAAAACATGAACTTCCAATGATAGAATTATTTCGTGTGTATAAGAATTTTCTCACGGACACCTTACAAGTGCTGCTAGCGCAACACCTGTAAGGTGCCTTTTTTGTGATTTTCGACAACAATCAATGATAATGCACCAAGTGAAATTCTCTAACAATTTGTGCTGCCTTTTTTTTGTGATTTTCGACAAGAATCAATGATAATGCACCAAGTGAAATTCTGTAACAATTCTGTAAAAGTTTCTATACGTGTACGTGTAGCATAATTGCCAATGATAATTGAGCTTACCTGAGTTAGTGCTCTTAAGAGACTGCTCAATTGAAAAAAGTTTCCCGACCCACCTTGGAAAGGGCCTATTTTTCCTCTTTCAATCATGTCATGTGTACATTATTTTTTACACTGCCATGTAGAAATACACCATTGGACAGTTTAAATTTTTTATAGCTTTTACCCCAACCAACACTTGACACCACTTTTAATGTCAACAAAAGACTGTTATTTGAATCAACACATGGCATTTCCCTTCTTCTTTTTCCCACCATGTAAGTGATTGATTCTAGCAAAACGGTTATTTGAATCAAATTACATTTTTGATGCATTGACATATGCTCTACACATTTAACATTTAAACAAAGAAACATTGTACCACCAACGTCAAAAGGACTATAAAGAAACGCTTAGATTCGATTCAGAAATAATTCCAGTGTCCATACTTTGATGTCTGTCTGATAAAAGCTCTCGTCATAATCAACAATGGCATATAAGTATATCAAACCTTCTGATGTGCACCATCAAAAGCATCGTCTGCCTATTCTTCAGAGGATTCAACAGGGGTATCGTCTTTTGCTCCCCATTCTGTCCAAGAACCATCATATACCGGAACATCTGTCTTCCCTAGTCGGTGGAGGCCCTGAAAGATGAATTTGGTTGTTTTTCTAATTTATGTTTCATTTAAGAATTGCACCTTCGTAAAAAGAAAATTTTGCGACTGTATGTATTTGGTTGGGTGATGGGGTAGAGAGAGGGGGAATACCAATGCCAAAATACATGCAGTTACACCAGTGCCGCACGAAGTTATCACAGGTTTGTCCAATGTAATTCCTGCAAAGCGACGAGCTAATCAATCTTCTTCGCAACAATTAATCTATTAATCTGGCCTAGATTGCTATAAACAAGTAATGACGTAGACAAACTGTATAAAATTAAGAGAACACTCGGGAAACCAGTAGCTACGTCAACAATAAAAAAGTTCCTCTTACACAGGAATGCAGATCAGATGTGGCAAAAACACGATTCCACTACTACTTACCTTCTTGCTCAAATCTTTTCTTGAGCTCAACTGCAGGTGAGAGTGTCTGTGAACCATCTAACATCTGCAAGGAACCGTTAAATGTCGTAAACTAGAAAAGTTCTTTATTCTTCAATATGAAGAGAGAAGCCTTTTTCATCATAAACATTCATATAGTTCCTTTAACTTCAAAATAAACATCACAAAGGAATGAACTTCATGTTACAAATTCTAATTTTGAGGGCACAAATTCATGATTTATATGGTTCATATACAAAGAGGACAGTGAGATTGTCCAATGTTGTGCTACTGCTAGTAAAGAGCTTCCATAAAACATCATCCAAACTAGTGATTAAGAACATTTTCTAGGCATTCTTTTTCTCTTTTTTATTTAGAAGGGAAAATAGTTATGATTAGGGTTCAGGATATAGATATATAAATAGCTGCGTCTAATTTTCAAAAGGATGACTTCCAACCAGTGATATGATGCACTAATTAGAGGTAGTTTTCTACCTGGGCGAAAGGAATACATCTGCTCCCTGGTACATGGCCACTTCTGATACCCTTTCGAGGCTCTGGTGCAGCCCCATCAAATCTGTATAAAAAATTACATTTTACAGAAGCACGGTACACCTTTTTGGTATGACAATTTCACAATCATAAGTAATCAACTCATGTTGAACAATCATTTACGAAAAAGGATTTTATAGATCACCTACCTAGCTTTTGAACGAGCATCTACATGCTGATATGTTTTCTCCTCCACATTTTTCTTGACCTAAAAATAGACAGACAACGATTGAAATTGGACAAAGAATTTTACCAGAGGCAAATACATCATAGAAAAAACCTTCCCAAAGCTCAACTTGCAGAAAACCCTGATTTCACATTTTAAGCATAGCATCCACTAAATAAAATGCTCAAAAAGTAAAATTTGAGTCCTTGAAGATAAAGTTATTATTTCAAAGTTCAAGTGAGTGCACTTTAACTACACATTTAATTTTTGAGTTAAAACTGCACATAAATGATCCTGATAAATCGAAAACAATAGAATGGAAACTCATGCCCCACTTCAAGTCTTTTTTTAGCGCAGGATTGAGCCCGTATTAACCAATTTTCTGCATTTAGTTTGAACTGGAGGGAACAATCCCCTAATAGGGATAGATGCAAATAATTTTAAGAATTGTTACTTCATTTTTTAATATAACAACACATACACGTTCACATCTATTTATAACATGTCGTGAGATACTTAAAAAAGGATATTGAATATCCTTCTCATGATGCACAATCAGTATCGCTGTAGTATGAAATAACATTCATACAGATTATAGCATCATCAAATAAAACTCAAAGGGGCAACAGACCTGTTCAAGTGTCCAAACCAAATGTGGCTGAAATCTGGTTTCAAAGGTAAATGGCCCAACCTGCAAATGTTACCATCAAAAGTTCAAAACAGACCACACATTAATATTGAATACCAACTGCAAAAAATCATCTTAGAGGCACATAACATGAGTGAAAGTAAGTGACTATTCGCTTGGAACTAATCGATGAAAAGAAATTTAAAAAAAAAAAAAAAAAAAAGAGACGGAAGAGAGGCTCGAAATCGATGCTTAAAGCAACTGTTGGAATTATTGTACAAGAGTAATGATTTTGCAGACAACATAAAGATACCATGATGTAGGATTAGATAAACACAAACGCAGAACCAGTCACATAGGAGGAGAGGGGAGAAGAAGAAACCAGGGAGGAAAGATGAAGAAGTAGGAGGAGAAGGAGAAAAGAAGAGGGCGGTGGAAGTCTGCAACACTCAATTTTCATTCAGACATCAAATCTGTTTCTTACAAGAAAAGGCTGCCCACATATATAAAATACAACACTAAGAAAAAAAAAGGTCTGGCCTTCGGCTAGCCCATTTACATAATACAAGCCCAAAAAATAGATATTAAACTAGCCCAAAAGTAAGTAGATGTCCCTCATCAACTCTCCAGGGGTGAGAGAAAACTCGGCTCTGTCGAGTGGACAAAATGCAAAAGGCTGCAGTCGATCTGATACCAAAAATGTTCCAAATCAAACCAAAGGAGACGATCTTTCTGACGAACCAAATATCGAAACTCAATAAATGACGACAACGTAAGTTGCAAATTATCCCCAAGTAGATGATCTGACCAAGGTGAACTGGGTAAAGTATGATCTTGCCGAATCCTATAAAGCTCCAAGAAGTTTGGATCACGATGCTAAAGTCTTTCTTCGGGAATCCATGTACCGCCAAAATCAAGTCGATTTACCCAATGAACAAAAAAGCATCGAATCCCTCTGTCATAGGTCAACACAATTTGTTCATCTAAAATAACATCAATTTTATCTTTATGTGCTGTGACAGATGATATTCGAATAGACATAGCAAAAGATTCAGAGTGGGAGCTCCCATGTGTAGACAAAAAAGGATTATCAAAACGGTCAAAACAACCTTTATAAGCAATGAAGTCCCTAACAATTAAAATAAGGTGGTGGTCATAATGTGATGAAAGAATATTGACATATGCATTTGGACTAACATGCTTTAAAGTTTCATAAGGACTAGCATTACGGGCTTGCAGTACAACATAATCCCCAATGTTAAATTCAAAATATTATTTATGCTAATTAGCTCGAGGTTTATATAATGCATTACTTGCATTAAGTTGTTCATTGATCTCAGTATGCAAGTCATGAAGATATACAAATGCTCCAGCTGACAACGACACACTAGCATGTGGGGATATGGGAATAAGATCTAACGGCCACCTAGACTTATAACTATGAACAACTTCAAATGGATTTAGACCTAGAGACCGATTCACAGAAGTGTTATATGAAATTTGAACAGTTGGGGGGATCAAGTCCCAATTCTCAAGATTTTTCTAGACTAGAGACTTGAATAAATTGCTAGAACTTTGGTTAACGACCTCATTTTGACCATCAGTCTGAGGTTGGTCTGCAGTGGAGAATTTCGATTTAGTGCTAACCATAGGCGATTGGGTTCTCCAAAAGTTTCTAGTGAAATCATGGGATATAGTATCTAAAGTCTCAGGAAGAGTCTTGATGCCACCTAAGGAGGTGTCCTCAATATCATCATCAATATCTTCAAATTTAGGTTCATATACTAGATCTTCTAACGACTCTTCTATTACATTCTTTCGTTCTTCTATGACTAAAGCTCGGTTAGGACATTTGGAAGAGATGTGGCAAGAGTCCTTACAGCTAATGCATAGCAAGTGAGAAAAAGAAGTCCTTGGAGTTTCAAAAATTTTACCCTTATTTTTCAAGATTGGAGGAATATTAGACGGGGGAAGTCCTAGAAGGGACTTAACGGGAGAAAGTGGAGCCAATGAAACAGAGAAATTGTTGCCAATACACCTTCTATGTGGACAAGGGGGGCTTGGACTATCACGACCTTTACACCTATTTTCCCAAATGGGAGGAACATTAGATGGGGAAAGCTCTATGATAGACTTATGTTGAGGTGGCTCTAATGACATGGGTAAATGATTATGATCGCGCTTTTCATATGGAGTACTAATAGTCAACTTATAACCTCGGGCTAAAGAATAAGTGTGATCAAGAGTAGTCACACCGCAAAGGAAAAACTCACGCCTAAGATCATCCCTTAGACCTTGGTTAAACCTATTCAAAGTCGTGGTCTCATCCTCAATGACATGACATTTGGTTCGAAATTCTTCAAATTGTGCAATATACTTAGTCACTAACCAATTTCCTTGTTTAAGAGCCGTCCATTGAGTAAAAACTTCAAAATCTAAGCAACCATCAAAAGCAGAAGTATCTAATTTAATAAATCTAAAGAAACTCTCCTCATGATGAGAAAGTGAACAAGTACTGTGACGATTACAACCTCGTTCTCGCTCACAAACCTGATCCCTATCCCTACGATTGTGTCGGAAGCATTTTTGATCACTCTGTCGATGATGATATTGTCTATTACGGATCACTTTAGATTTATGAATGTCAATCGAATAAGGGATTTGATTAAAATGGCTCATTTTAGCAACTAGGTTCTTTCTCTCCTCATGAGCAGCAGTTATATCAGATTGGACAGTCGCTAATTGAGTCTAAAACTGTTGTTGATTAATGACAAGTTGGGCTAACTGTCGTGATAGTGCATCAAATTGGGAAGGATATATGGTCAAAGTATTAGCACTAGGGATGACAAGATGATCACTCACAATTGCATGCAATGTAGTAACAACTAAATGTAATGTATGAGGAGATCAATGAATAACAATTGCACATAAAGACAATATAAACTTGAGCAGTTATGATTTTATTTTTTATTTTTTGTGGGATTATGTAGATCCTAATAAGGCAAGCTAATACCGCTGATTTATGTAAAATAACAAAGCACGGATCAAATACTAGTCAACAATGTAATGGCGTAAAATGTTAAAAGTGAACAAGACGAGTTTGAATAGGTCTAGGGTGTTGGTTATGTGAATTTTAGGTAAAAGTGAGGAATACCACAGCACAAAGAAATTAACCAATGTAATTTTAAAATAAACAGTAATATAAACCAAAGATAGATAAAATAATAAGTTCCCTCACTCGTGGAGACGCTATGTTGATTCGCTGAGATGACAAGACAGAAAATTCTCGTGTTTGTTGAGACGTGGTACTGATCAATCAAACTAAAATATACCTACAAAGCAATGTTAGAAAACTATCGCTTTTTTTTTTTGCCCCTTTTTTGTTCCCTTTTTTTTTTTTTTTTTACTTACAAAATCAAACAAAAACATATAAACAAACAGACCACTAGCTGAGCCCAACACACTAAAGCTGGACCTAAAATACTAGAGTAGAGCCCAAATAACGTCATGGATTGCCCAATAGCAATAGCCGGTGAGATTTCTGGGTCACTGTCTCGGCAATGCTTTAATCTTGAGTCGCAATTCAGGCTTGGGCGACGCGATGGCTGTGTCACGATCGAAGGCGTCAGTCGTGGGTGGGTACTCCGGGTTCGGAAAGGCGATGTGTAAATTTTTTGTCGCTGTAATATCGGGTGGGTTTGTTCAATTTCGGGTTGCTGTGATTTCGGGTTGGAGAGTGGGTGATTGGGTCGGTTTGGGAGTAGACTGGTGGCGGTTTTGCAGTGGGATATGGTGGTTGTGATTGTAAGGCAGGTCGTGTATATGAAGTGAGCTGATGCGCATTGGGAGTTGTGTGTATGTAGTAGATAGATGACCATGTGTATTATGGGGGATGGTGTTCATGAATTTACTGTGGCTGGCGGTGTTGGTATCGAGGTTTATTGGTTAATTGGTTATGGGATATTATATGGTGGTGGTCACTGTTGTGGTAGCTTATGAGTGGTGGTGGAAATGGAGGGATGGTGATTGAATTTGGACAGTGGCTGTGGCGTGAGCATGCTGAGGTCGGCCGTAAAACTTTGGTGGTGACTGTATGGGTTGGTTTGATCTCTGATTAATATATGGCTTCTGTATTATGGGCTGAGTGTTGTGTTGTTGTAGAGGAATTGAACAAAAAGATTAAGGTTGTAGCCATTCTTTGAAGCGATGGTGGCGGGAGAGTAAATCGACTGGTTTTGCAGCAATGGGTGAAGGAAGCCAGATTTAGCTCTGATACCACTTTGATATAGGATTAGATAGACACAAATGCAGAACCAGTCACATAGGAGGAGAGGGGAGAAGTAGAAACCAGGGAGGAAAGATGAAGAAGTAGGAGGAGAAGGAGAAAAGAAGAGGGCGGTGGAAGTCTGCAACACTCAATTTTCATTCAGCCATCAAATCTGTTTCTTACAAGAAAAAGCTGCCCACATAAAAAAAAAATAATAATAATAATAAGGACTTTCCTTGGGCCAGCCCATTTACATAATACAAGCCCAAAAAATAGATACTAAACTAGCCCAAAGCAAAGATGCTAAACTAGCCCAAAAGTAAGTAGATGTCCTTATCATAGCATCATCTTAACTTGAGGTGCTAACTATAATTAGTCTAATTCATCAAGGATCCATCTAAACAGCAAAAAAGTAATCCAAAACAGGAGGCCCAAATTCAATGATAAATCTCAATTAAGAATAATGTACAAATAGACAACACTGAATGTGCTGCCGCTTTTTTGCATTCTCTTCCAGCTTTGCAAACCTTCTTGCAATTGACACTTTAACATGCATCTAGACTCGTTATAATAAATAAAAAAATAAAAAAATAAAAAATCTTTGTTTGCTATCTTCTTGCTTGTAAGTGTCCCAGTCATTTCCCATCTCCTTTTATAAATAACTAAAAACAGTTTCTCAGTTTTAAGTTCTTTTATCCTTTCATCTTCAACTTTCATTTTCTGGTCAAAAATGATTCTAGTAACCATTTAAGAAAGTGGCAATAGCAGATGGAAGGCACTTACTCTCTGCATTCAGTAAAATGATCGGTGACTTAACCCCCGTCTGGCCCCCATTCTTTCCAAATTTTAATGGAATAGCGTTTTTTTTTAAAATGTGTGGTTGGAAAAGAATGAAAAGTTTTTTATTTACGTGTAATATTATTTTATAGAAAATTGTGTGGTTGAAAATAAGAGAGAAAAAGAATGAGAAGGAGAATGGGGTCAAATGGGGGATTAATGTTATTATCTTCATTTTAACAAAGATGAAATGAAACATGCGCAGTCCTAGTAAGCTTGCATCATAAGGAATGGTTGAATTATAAATAATGTTCCAAGTAAAACCTTCATTCTGTGAACTATTGAACTCATTATGTAATGTGATAATTTTGTGACCTTCAAACGCACACAGTTCCAGGAAGCAGATTAGATAGTGGTTGGCCAACAGTGCCAACAGTCAGATGTCTTTGACAACTTTGACTTTATTTTAACTCATAAAACATGTATCCATAAAAATAAAAGGACAGAAAGGGAGATGTACAAACTAAAAGCATGATGACTGAGAAATACGTGTAATATTGATGATTTCTATCAATCATCCAAACAACAAACACATTATGAACCAAAGACAGTGAATACAATTTTACATAGATAACCAATGACTTACATGCTGTCCTTGGTATACTTTCTCTATTGCCTCACTGGCAGCACTAGCTTTGAAGATAGCATCACTTGACGCACTTGATTCAACATCAAATCCTGAAGCACGCCATCTTGGCAGGCCTCCATCTAAAACCCAAATTCTGTCATGACCAAAAACTCGGAACATCCTGTTATATAAAAGAAGTTGACGAGTTTCTCACTCATAATCAAAGAACTCACAAGTTTAATGCTTCTATTTTGTTTCTTTGGTTTGAATTTAAAACTCACCACCAAACACGAGCTGCACTGAAAATTCCTTTTCCATCATACACAACAAGCCCATCCTTATTCTCAATGCCAAGGGCAGAAACAGCAGCAGCAAATGCTTCTTCCGATGGCAACATATGAGGCAACTGGTAAACGCCATTCAAGAGGAAAAGCATTATAAATTATTCACATGCATATGCATATGCATATGCATTTACAAATGATTATTTTATGGGCGTATTGATTAGTATAGGTACACATTCACACAGGTATACACAGCATATGCATACACACTATCAATCTAGATAAAACTTTGCAAAACCATAACAATAAAGATGTTTGATCCAAAAAAGAATTATTATTGCCTTGTTGCAACTGAACTTCCAAAAGATGCTTGAGTTTTGTTTGACGGGGAACCATATCTAGACTTCAAACTGATCATAAACTACATGTGATAACAAAGAAATAAAATCTTACATTGCTAGTTTGATCTGATATGCCATCAACATCAAAGAAAAGAGCACCAGGAATATGTGCCACCTGATCAAACAAAATAACTCCCAAATAAATATCTGATGGAGAAAAATAAACATTAGTGGAGTGGTAGAAAACACAATATGTCACCACAAGAGATTTTATTGATACATTTAGATGCCTTTTAACTATTATAACTGCTACAAAGTAGAGTATAAAGGCACATTTGAATTGAGCCAAGGAAGATATATACGAACACAAAGCACCTGATATTCTTGAACTGGGTTTCTCTGTTCATCTGGCATGTACCAGGATGCATCCAACACCTGAAAAAGTTGCATATTTAAGTGATGTGATAAAGACACTCGCCTTGAAACCAGAACAATATTACTAAGGGGAATGGTTTCTTATGCTAATAGGCAGTAAAACTTTTGGGGTCACATTTGACTATAACTAGCGATTTGGAAACTGAAATTAGAAGGAAACCAAATCTTATGCAAATTAATATTGGCATTTTAGGCCTGTTATGGTAAAAAAGAAGAAAAAACGTAAATTTTCTTCAGAAACTACAATTTAAAAATAATAAAAATTAAAAAAAATAAATAAAGGATGATGGTTTATTTGCCTCAGGGAAGGCCTATAATGAGTTTAAGATTTAGGGACTCGTCATGCATTTAAACAAGAGACGGCACAGGCTAAACAAATATTTATATATGTGTGATTAATCAATAAACTCAAATTTTCTTCCCTCTACCGTCGTTTTCTTGCAATATTTTTATATTAAAAAAAAAAATTTATAACTTCAGGCCAATTCACGACCCAATGTTACAACTGAAATTATTAAACAAAACGTTCATGAAGATATTAATATATTGTCTTTGGAAAATCCAGTGCTCTGGATCTTCTGTGAACACTGAAGGGCACTTTTGTGGGAATGACCACAGCATGGAGAAGGGAAATTGCCATTGATCCAAGTACCAGCGAGGGGATCAGTAATGTCAAAATTCTATCTCCTATATTCATTTTACTTTCTTACAGGAACCTAAGTGTTCAAGCTTAAAATTAGCACATAATCACATAAAGAAGGTAAAAACTTTTTAATTTGCATGAATATAATAAATTTCTTATTAGCTTTTTGGACATAACATAGGAAACCAAACTTTTTATATGAATGGTTATTTACAATAGGAGTATGTGGTGAGACTTTTGAAAACAGCATCCTAAGACCTGAAAATGCTTCAACAGAACATGGCAGACCATTGTAAAATAACTCAGAGCAGTCAAGTTAACAAAAGGATAACAGGTCAAAAGGCACAATGCATACCTTCACATTAGGTTCTCGAAGGTTGGCATGGAGCCAATCCACTGAAACAACAGGTTCGTTGGCTGGCAGGGACTGCATGGAGAATGAAGCTTGTGAGGCTACTGCTGATGAAGTCATGCTACAATAAACAGACCCTGAAGCCTTATGTGACAAATGGGATGGAGCCAACAACCAGTGAAATGATCTCATCTGCATGCAAGAAAGAAAATAATGCATAATAAGCACAAGAATGATAATTTCACAAAGGATAATAGCACCACAAATTAACAGTCATCAAGTGTCTTTAACCAACCATAGATCAAGTGCGTTCAAAATGGGACAATTTAATCTTGCAAGTTCTTTCAAACTTCATCTTAAAATCACAAATCTTTGTTGGATTAAATTCTAAATCAAACATCACTACTGGGAACAGACAAGTTCAAGAATAAATCAGTGTCCATGTTACTTTCTGAGTAGGATAACCAGGTCGCCTACGAATTAGAAAGTCTAAATGAAGTTAATAGCCTATTTTCATTATTCAGATTTTCTCTCTTTACTTCCTGAAAGTGTTAAAGTGAACAAATTTACACCACAGGTGGAATATGAACAACCAATTCATGCAGTTACTCAATACAAAAGTAAACAAAACAGATTATTCGTAAATGTAAGAACGAACAGGTAAAGCAAAGACCACCTCATGAACAGCTAAATACTAAATACAAAAATCTTTAGTTCATCTAAATTCTAACAGTCCAATTTCTCGCCGCAAAACAAAAATCCGCATAGAAAACCCAATTAAAATAGTAAAAGTATAACGAAAAACAATCCCTTGGAGTAAACGGCAAAAAGTTAACAAAATCCAGTCAGAGTAGACAGAGAGGAAGGGAAGCTTACGGAGAATGGGGAAGTGAAGAATTTGGGTTTGTGAAAGTGAGTAGAAGAAGATCGAAGGAATCGATGAGCTAAGAGAGCTCTGGACAGAACGGAAGATGCCATTTGTATATATTTGTCTGGATCAGAAAGCACGAATTACCATAGAAAATTTCACAGGTATTGGAGGATTAGGGGCTTTTTGTCCCTTTCGAATTTCTTCTTATGTGCCGAGGTTTTCAATTAGAAGCTAATTTCAATTGAAATTTACGATATATCTGCCGATAATTTGAATCAATCCATATTCAGCCAGCCGCAGATGAGCTATGCCCTGGTATCGCACCGGAGCGACTCCCAGTGGAAGTGAAACTTCGGTTCGGCGTTTTTAAGGTTTGTGATGCGTGAAAAAAAAAAATAACGGGTAAAGGAAATAAAAATATAAAAAAAAATTGCCTTGAATTAAAATATGATTTTAATCTAAAGTTTAAGTTAAACAATCAATATTAACTATATTATTTGTGAGTCCCACAATTTTTAAATCACATATTTCAAAAACTTCTATTACAATCTACTAAAAAATTTAATTTTAATCACAACCAAATACCTGCTAAATGTATTTATTATTTAACGTTTAGAAAATGTCATATTTTTCCATTTGCAGTTCCATTAATAAAATAATGATCCATTTGATTGCAAAGATAGAATTGAATTGAATTGAAAACGAATTTCAGGAATTGAATTGTCTAAAAATTATTTTCCTGGAAATTGCAAATTATTATGTTTGATTGGTATAATTTTATACGTGGAAAATATTAAAATTTTGAATCTTTTAGTATTCGTTTAGTCATGTTTTTCATGAAAATTGTCAACTAAATGGATAATTTTGTTTACAATTGTTGATAGATTTTGTTTCCATTGCTAAAAAAAATCAAAAAAAAATGAAAAGCTGGAAAATCGAATTCCCACCAAAATCTATTTCAAGGAAAAGGCACATGTGTGGAGGAAAATGTGGAAATCAAATTCCCTAAAAAATTTAGCTATCAAACACCACATTTTGGTGGAAAATTTTTTATTGAAAAATATATCCAATCAAACGTGTCCTAATAGTCAATATTGATACACAACCTAAACATAATAAAATAATAAACAAATAATGAAATTTGAAATTGAGAAGGCAATAACTTAAATATTAATTCATAGTCTATAATTTATGAAACATTTTATAAGCATTATTAATATTGGTTATTGTTCTAATAAAAGCTGAAGAGTTAATTGTTTTAATGGTCACTGAATTTAGATTCATATCTTTGATTGACCACTGAATTTTAAAATGTTGAGTTTTGATCACTGAACTTAGGTTCATGTCTTCGATTGCTCACTGAAATTTAAAATGTCGAGTTTTTGCTACTGAACTTTGAAATATACCTTACATTACTCACTAGCATAACTCTAGACTTTGAAAAATATCGAGTTTACAGTAAATAATGTACGGCATTTTTCAAAATTAGGTGAATAATGTACAATATTTTTTAAAATTCAATAAATAATGTACAATATTTTTCAAAGTTCAGTGGTCAAAACTCGACATTTTAAACTTCAGTGAGCAATCGAAGATATGAACCTAAATTCAGTGACCAAAACTCGACATTTTAAAATTCAGTGACCGTTGGAACGGTTAACTCAAAGCTGAATCAACCACTTTATCATAAGTTCAAATCCTAAGGAGTGATTCATTACAAATTCATTCCAAATGTTCGATTTGGGCCATTTCGCACCTATATTTATGTTTTAGTGGGCTGACCCGTAACTAAAATGACCCACTTGGTTTCCATCGTGGAAAAACCATAATGGAAATTACACCACATGCCTCATTTTAGTAAAATATTCATTAAATACTATTTAACATTTTTAATCAATTAGAGTGTGTTTGATTGACATGAAAAATATCACCTAGAAAAGAAAATATTTTCCATCTTTTGTGGAAAATAAAAACCACATCTACCCAAAGAAAATATTTTCCTTAAAAACAAGGAAAATTAGGCATATTTTCAAAAGTTGGAAAATATTTTCTATGGAAAAAAATAGCAATCAAATACTCTAAATATGAATTTGGGTGAAAAACTGATATTTTTCATAAAAATAAATGTAATCAAACACACCCTTAAATACTGCAATATAGTAGTAAAAGTGAAAACTAAAAAGTAACTTCTCTCCGAAAGTAATTAATGCACCCACTATCATCTCGCACGCAAACAGTCCATTATTGTTCAATCCCCCCATTCTTGCTCAAAACCCCCAAATTCACGTTTCTTTCTCGGACTACCAAGATCATCATCCACAAAATTGGTTCTCAAAAACATCATTCCATTAACCCGCTTCCACTTTTTCCATTTATTCATACAATGATCTGGGGGATTCTATAGATTGCAAGTCAATTATAACCCTTATGGACCCCTGTATTAAAACGAATCAGAGTAAATCTCTCAGCTCCGCCACCGTACTCAATATAGTCAACGATACATATCGTTAATGGCAACATCGAGTCCCCAATCTACCATGACTTTAACCAAAAACCAAGAAACGAGTGAGCACAACTTTATTGCTGCAAAACCTAATTGTCGTTTTATGTTTACTTTAGTGTTTAGATATCAACTAATATTGTGAAATCAATATACCATCCTAGAGAGGGTTTGCCAAACTATTGGAGTACTGAATTTCTTTGTACATGTTTTTGTTTAAGATTGTCAGGAACTGTTATTATGATGTAGATGGATATTGAATGCTTATTTTGGTTTAGCACAGACCATTGTTATCATGTTATTTTTGTCATATATTTGAGTTCGAATAGTATATTTGTGTCACTTTTCCAATATGATGTGTGTTTGTATACATTTGTAAGTTATTTTATTTGTAAACTCAGTGTTTCAATATCGTGATATTGTAGCATTTGTTACTACGTAAAGCATGAATGTTTATATGGAAGCATGTGATGTCAAGGATTCACATAGTTTGAAACACCTGCAAAACTCTCCCATGTTTCATCTTATAAGCAGCTGACACATTTGTCATTCTGTATCCATATTATAGAACGTATGTGATATGGTTGTAGAATACTTGAAAATTATTGGATCGAAATAATATAGTTTCAAATGAGGGAAAAAAATAATTAAAATTTGAAGCTTGGAAAACGAAGTTGATCTTGTCAAAATTTCAATTGAGAATATATATTCACGATGACCAAACTAAAACTTTTCTTAAGGAATAACACTTGATTGTACTCAACAAGGACCTATTGACTATTGGAACAAAACGCCTAAATAGTTGGACACGTCGAAGGCGTCTGATTCAAATCATGCGTTGTCTCTATACCTTCAATGTACCTTTGATATCTAGCATCACACATGTGTCACGTGATGGTATCATAAGCTCTGTAACACATTCATCTTCGATCGAAACATTAGTAATGTCTAAACGTATTGCACTTGCTTTGATTCGTGGGTCTTTCCATTTCAATTCCAAGGGAGTTATTTGTAATCCTCAACCGGACCTTGTTCCTGCCAACATCATATACTATCATCCTAAAAATTCAGTTGATATTATTGCAACAAATTCCAAAAACTTGCAACCAATAGGCACGTGAAGTCCCAAGGTATCAGTATTGCATGTTATGAAAATGTTCACAGAATCTATACCTGAATCCATACGAAACATATTACTCACAAACATGTCTGTTAATTATAGTGAAATTTTAGAAATAATATGCGAAAATAGTTGCCATTGGCCCACTGTATTTGGAAGTAATTAATAAACCAATCTACCCCAACGATACGATGATTGATACATCCGGACTCAAACTAATTTCATGAGCAGTAAAATTTCATGCGTACATATAAATTCTAAATAGATTACCCAACCACATTGTAATTGCTAATAATCGATGTGTAAATGATTGAACAAAGTCAAATAAAAATAACTTAAAAAACATATATCTCTACGTTTGTGATGCAGAAATCACAACAATTGATAAATTTTTGACAAAAAAGGGGAAGATTCCATACCTTGTAATGTCCATTTTGATACTATTTTAAATTTTTACTCTCGCAAATGAACGGTGCCGGTAATTTCAAATCCTACAATTCTTTAGACACAAACCAATTGAATTTTGAATGCCTACATCCATTGCAATCATAATTAATGAAAAGCGTGAGATAACGTAATACCAAATTCAAAGAATACTGGGACTGAAATATTCTCATTTTTTTCCATTTATAACTGAAATTGGATACATCTTGTTACGTCCCTATCTGAACCACTTCGAAGACGATTCGGAATATGTGAACCACTTCGGGAGTGGTAGTACAAGGTATCCACCGTCAACCTGAAGTGATTCTGATATTTCAAAGCGTCCTTGACGCCGAAGCGTAATGCGCCGCCACTTTCAGAAAGAGAATCTGCGTCAAGATCCTCTCTGCCCCCAAGGCCCAATTGATTTGACGTCTCCATGGGTCTAGTTGATGTGACGTGTTAACTTTATGTCAATTCAACTCAAGAGAAGTTATTATCCGCCCACTCTATAGATGCGACTGATTGACGCCTATGAGCAGACGCCTCATGCCGTCAGATGCATATACGTATCCCATATCCAACGGTTCTCCTTACCTATAAATACCCAAGACTTGACAAGAGGCAATGGTAATGAAACTATTGCAACTTAGCTCTCAATAACAAGAAAATATATATAATCTCCTCCCCATTCACTTGCACAACCCGAACACTGTTTCGATCATCGAATAATAATTTTACCGTCGGAGTATAGCTGGTTCCGACCGTGTGCATCTGACCGTGTGTTGATTACACGCAGGGAGGATCATGTGGAGCAGCTATCGGTTGGCCACATAGAAGGTACAATTCGCTAGGTCAATAGATTAACGCCGTCTATGGGAAACTTTCCATCCAAAGTTCTACATTTTCCACCGAAAAACCATTGACTTACCCTAAAAAGGGGACGTTCTTGAAAAAGAACAAAGTTGAATTACAACCCAGATTCTCATCACCCTTGAAAAATGAGTAGATGAGATAAGTTCCAGCAATGAGGACGCAAACCCCAGGATGGATGCATCTGAAGAAGAGGTGCTCCGAAACAATGTCACTCACCAAAGACCCCATCACCGGCGTCGTAGAGATGAAAGAACGGCCATGCTCACTGAAGAAATGAACCAAATAGCTGGGGGCATGGGAGAGATCGCAACTCAGAATATGGCGATGTATGGATTCTTCATGCGAGCCCAAGGTCACCAGGGCGCCCAAATGTCCCAAGAATCTTACCTAGCTCGTAAAGTCCCTGCTTCTCGTTCCCGAGGCCATATGAGCCAGCACAGATAACCCACTCGCCCTCGAGAGAG